TACAAAGAAGTTATAGAAAACATAATTAACTAAAAGAAAAAATGGTTCAATTAAAATGACATTAAGTAAAACTTTTAGTAGAAGAAATAAATAACCTACCAATCCATATTGTTTATACAACACAAAATTAAACCAAAAGCGTTGCGTCAATCAAGAGATTAGGTAACTGTCCAAGAAATACTGAATAAGGAAACTATATTAAAAAGCATCTTCCAGATACACATAAAATTTTGATTATTTACATATGCCATGTTATCTGCAACTACTAAAAAAATCTTTAGCGTGATAAGGAGCATCAAGATATCAAATAAGATCACAAAAGAGCATAGGTGTACATACAAACTATATATTTTCAGTTAACTATCACAGACAATGGATGATTTAGACATTAGATTAGACAAAAACTGGTAAAAAAAAATTGCATCAAAGTTTTTGCAAATAAATACTTGTTTTGGAAATTTTTAATTGTTATAGTTTTAAAAAGTGAAAATAAACTAATTTATAGTTTTGTCTGAATGTAAGAAAAGACAGGGAAAGTTAATAACGATTTGAAAATTTTGAGCATTTGCAAAATTGTCAGTCATCAAGCAATAGCATTTTGCTCCATGCACTATTTTGCCTCGTTTTTTTTTTTTCAGTGTACGTGTGAAGGCTATTTTTATTATTGATCAAAAAATGGACTTAGCAACAAATTATTAAACGTTATTATAATAAAAAGTTATGTCTTATAATGTACATTTAGTAGGGTTGCACCGATACATCGGTATCGATATCGGCCTGCCGATACATTGACCATTTAGCTTATGCATCGGCATCGATCTAATTAACAATCGGCCAATGCCGATTGTTTTAAAAACATCAGGTTTTTAGAACAATCTAAAGAAACATTGAAATTGTTTTATTGATTGAATAGAGTTTGATGTGATAAAATTTTATTGGTACAGTACAATTCCACAATCTTTGTTTTATTTTTTTGAGAAAAATTTTTCTGCTTTTAAACAAAAAAATTAATTTTTTATTTTTAATGAAGCCTGTTGAATCATTTAGTTGCTCCTGATGGGTAAATTTTATTTTATACTTGAATTAAATTTAACACAATTTTTTTATTTTTGGCGTTCCGAGCATATTTAGCTTGGAACTGATCTGATGGATTACTATTCTCTATTTAAGTAATCTAAAAAAGGTTTTTAGGCGTAATCTGTGAGTTCAAGATCTAGTTAGTTTGTGGAGTAGAAATCGTCGCCAATTCCTTTTTTGCATTAGTTGCAGTGTTTTTATTTATTTTATTCATAGTTTTATAGATGGTATAAAAATAATCTTGAGTAATAACTTTGCGTTTCATTTAATATTGTTTTTTATTTCTTATAAGAAAAGACTTTACAGAATGTACGTAATATTTGTAGACGTACAATATGTAGATGTAAACGTACATCTTTTGAACATAATAAAATTTTAAAATCAAAATCTCTCCGGGTTTCATAATGGTTTTTATCATTTTATAAAAGGTATTAACACGACTATTCTATATATAACCACTATTGCGTCATCAGCAAAATTTTTCAAGTAAATCAAAAAAATTATATTGACAGAGTTTTTATCTCTTTTGTAATTTTTGTGTACCGATTTTTGTCAGGGGCTATTTTAGGTATAAATGAGGGGGAGGGGATGAACACCTAATAATTGCCGACTTCTTGATATAAAAATATATGAAATATAAAAAAAGGGTTCTCAAAACTAAAAATTTGTCTTCTATATTATGCCAAAAACCCGTCTGTTTTCCTTAAAAAAGCCGGCTATAAGTTGAAGATAGCTTTCTATACTTTATAGAGCCGGAACTATTTTAGTTATATGTCTTTTTACTTTCTCTAGGTATAGCTACGACAAAACTTATGTTAAAAACTTCTAGGTATGAAAACTATAAACTTATGTAATAAACCTGAAGATATGAAAACTGAAAACCTCTATTGTGAAGCGCAAATATTTTTTTATCAAACCCAAGAATAAATTAGCTTTTTATGCAAATACTATACTCTATTGCCTATAACTTCATTCCAAAATTCCATTAAATAAGTATGACTTTTAATATTTGTAACACAGATGCATCACAAGACATTTATAAAATTTTTTAATTTTAATTATACTTTTTCGAGTGCGCTCTGTTTCTTGGCTATTAGCATTTCGCATTACTAACAAGATGTCTTCACAAAAAAATTACTATTTTCTTAACTATTTTGTAAAGTCAATTGAGTATGTGAATTTCTATGAGTTCGGTTAAATCAAAAGTTTTTATGTTTTTTTGCTGCTGTAGTAATATAGAAGAGGTTTTTGTTTTATAATTCTTAGGTTTTATTTTGCCAAGAAAATGAATTTAACAAATATTTCGGTTTTTATGAGTAAAGTTTATTTATATCAAGTTGAGTGAAACAAATAATTTTATCTGTGTGATGCTGATAAACTAATTGATGATGTCGGAAACCTATGTCAAAATATCTTTTACTTA